AGAGTGCTTCTCCACACTCTCAGAGCTCCTTGATTGCCTACAGCAGCTCATAGCAGAGGGAACTGTGCTTAAAGGAAAGACTCTACAGGGGGCCAGCGCTGTAGCACAGCGGGTTAAAGCCCTGGGCTGAAGCACCAGCTTTCTGTATGGGCACCGGTTCTAGTCTCAGCTGCTCTTCTTCCAATCCAGCGCTCTGCTATGGCCTGGGATAGCAGTAGAAGATGGCCCAACTGGGAGACCCAGAAGAAGCTCCTGGCTCCTGGCTTTTGATTGGCACAGCTCCAGGAGTTGCAGCCATCTGGGGAGTGAACCAGCAGATAGAAAATCTCTCTCTCTGTCTCTACCTCTCTCTGTCTTTCAAATAAATAAAATAAATCTTTAAAAAAAAGACTCCACAGATCATATGAGTGGTTCATATAGTGGTGTGGATGAGTATTGAGCACGCTGGGGACTAACATATGGGCATTCCGCAGCTGGGAGGAGAAGTGGAGTTCACACCAGCAGAGGTGACCATTCGTCTCCATCCAGTGAACCAGAGGAGAGCTACCACACCCAAATTGGGTATTACCCTAGATACTCGCACCATCCTAAAGCACTGAACAGAGATCTCTGGCCACACAACACACATACATCTTGGTATTCACTGAAAGTATACACGTCCCACTAAGCCACAGAGACACAGATTGAAGATGAAAGCCACCAGACAAAACAAAAATTACAAATGCCTAAAAATAATGGCAAAATTTCAAGAAACAAGAAGAGGGAAGACATGATGAGTCCTTCAAAGGAACATTACAACATTTCTACATTAGAATGTGAAGAGATCGAGGAAATGCCAGAAATTGAATTAAAAAAATCAATCATCCAATTACTCAAAGGCAATCAGAAGCAAATCCACTAAAGAAACTAAAGAAAAATAAATATAATATGAATGAAAATTTTTCACATAAAATTAAGATCGAAAAGAGAAATCAATAAAATATTAGAAATGAATATTCAACAGATCAAAAAAAATGCAGTGGAAAGTCTTAAAAACAGAGGTGGTGAGGCAGAAGAAAGAATATCCAAGCTATATCAGTTACATTCCGTTATTAAATAGATTTTAGTAACTATTTCAAATGTTTATGGAAACTATATTGTACTATATACAATAATCAGGTAAAGTCTCTGTTGTCCAGTTTTTCAAGACAACAGCCTCAAAAAATAAAAAATGCATTAAAATATTCACTATTTCTCATCTAAGACAGAAAGTGAGAGCCACATCTAGATTATTCTGCAAATAACATTTACAAACAACTTATACACAGTAAGTTGCTGGTCTTCACACATTTCTAGCCTGGTTTATGAAAATAACTAATATAAATTTTAATAGATTTGTTAAAAATAAAACAAAAACACTACATCTAACAAAGTGGTGATGAAATCTCTAATTTTAATAAAAATATATGTCATTTTAAAGGAAAAAATAATAACTTCCATATAGCATTTGGAAACAATGATTTTGTTACAATTTTTTACACTTTAATAATATTTATCTTTCCAGCACTACTTTAAGTTATATGAATATTGAGAGGCCACTGATCACATAAAAGTAATAATCTACCAAACAAATTTGGCTTTAAAGCATAACATTTTACTTATTTGATGGTACTATATCTCTGCAGATGACACATAATCAATGTAAAAAAAGAATTGCAAAAAATTAGCATCCAGGCACAGAGGGGGGAGCATAGGTTAAAACACCTCTTGCAATGACTACATTTCATACTGGAATCCCTGAGTTCAAGTTTCAGCTCTATCTCCAATCCAGTCCCTGCTAATGCACAGCCTGGGAGGTAGCAGGTAATGGCTGAAGTATTTGGGTCCCTGCCACTCGCGGACTTGCAACACACCAGGCAGAAACAGATATACACATGCTTATCAAAGTATACTCCCTTTGGGTGGCTTCTTTTAATTTAACTCATTCATTCATTAAACAAATGTTTAATGCCTATTGTTTGCCAGGCACGTTGATAGCTACGAGGTGTCTTTTAGCTTCCATAAATTTATGGTTCCATTGAAAAATATCTGAGATATTTCAGCAGAACATTTTTCCCTAAATAGAATGGTTAGCAAATCTCACAATTTATTACACAGATGACTGCCAATTCTGCTCCTTCCACTCACAATTTCACAATAATTTATAGCTATTAATGCAGTTTCTCTCAACAAACATTTTAGAAAGTATACTATCTTTTGTTTAGCACTAAATAAACAAATGTCAAGCTCCTATTTAATAAGCTCCACATACAAGCATAAGGGAAAAGATGACAAATGAATTTCAACATTTAAATGAAAACCATGAGAACTGCTGACCCCTTCAATGAGCAAAGAAGCTTTGCTACAAGATGAATCCTCATTTATCTAAAGTGGATGGTAACTGAGATGGAAGCTTTCCTCAACTCTTTTAGGTCAGTTGAATAAACTCTAAATGTGACAGAATTAGCAGAATTGTAATCTATGGTAGTTAAAAGATGTAGCCCTCAGCTTTCAGACTTATCAGATTTCAAAATTATCTATGAAAACTATTCAGCACCCACACCCTGTGGGAGTCTTTGCCAGCATTTACTTCTGTACACATATATTCAACTCTAGATTCACCTGAGACCCACAGATAGTTCCATTACCCCGGTGTCTCAAATTATCTGATCAAGCCTTAAAAGAATTTAAGCTACAGGTCAATATAACAGTCAAAACTTTAAAACAGATCTATTGCGCGGCCGCTGGGTCTGTTTCTCGGCGCCTGCTCCTGGCCGGCCCCCGCGATGCACGGGGCTCGGCAAAGCTGCAGCAGGAGTCGGGGGTGAGCGGGCCGGGCCGGGGGCTCGCGCGCCGCCACCCCGTCTGAAGAAATGAGTGGTGGATTGGCCCCCAGTAAAAGCACAGTGTATGTCTCCAACCTGCCCTTCTCCCTGACGAACAACGACCTATACAGGATATTTTCCAAGTATGGCAAAGTTGTAAAGGTTACTATAATGAAAGATAAAGACACCAGGAAGAGTAAAGGGGTTGCATTCATTTTGTTTTTGGATAAAGACTCTGCGCAAAACTGCACCAGGGCGATAAACAACAAACAGTTATTCGGTAGAGTGATAAAAGCAAGCATTGCTATCGACAATGGAAGAGCAGCCGAATTCATCCGAAGACGGAACTACTTTGATAAATCCAAGTGCTACGAATGTGGGGAAAGTGGACACTTAAGTTATGCCTGTCCTAAAAATATGCTTGGAGAACGGGAACCTCCAAAGAAGAAGGAAAAGAAGAAAAAAAAGAAAGTTCCTGAACCAGAAGAAGAAATTGAGGAAGTAGAAGAAAGTGAAGATGAAGGTGAAGACCCTGCCCTGGACAGCCTCAGCCAGGCCATAGCCTTCCAGCAAGCCAAAATTGAAGAAGAACAAAGAAAATGGAGACCCGGTCCAGGGGGTCCCTCCACATCCGATGACTCAAGACGGCCGAGGATAAAGAAAAGCACCTATTTCAGTGATGAGGAAGAGCTCAGTGACTGAAATGGCATTTACTGTGTAAATGTCCCTAAGATGGAAAAGCCAGGGAGCGTACAGTTCAGCTGAGGGCCATGGTTACTTTTAGAATTTGAGATAAAAACACTTAATACCAAACAGTTTTTCACTAGAAAGTAGTTCATAGGAAATTTAAAAATAAATGGAAAGTATTATGTTTCTCTCTTGCCTTAGCAGAGCACAGTTTGAGCATCCCTAATCTGAACTGCTGAACACTGCACAGTCTGAAGCCTTGTCAGTGCCAGCACAGTGTCTCAGGCAGGACAGCGTGACAGTGTCACACACCCTGTGTCCTGCTGCCTTCAGACTCTGTACATAAAGCTTGACAAAACCTAGTGAAGTTCCTATTCAGGCTTGGGCCCTTCCCATCCCTGTGGTAGCTCATTATGCTGTGCAGCTACGAGAAAATTCAGAAAAACCCAGAAAACAAAATACTGCTGGCCCCAAGTGTTTCAAATAAGAGATACACAACCTATACTAAAAATCAGAACTTGCTACTACTAATCTGAAAAGAGCTAATGTTAATAAAAAATAAGAAAGTATTATAATGCTGTTGTCATCCCATGAGAAAAAGGTATTAAAATGATTTGAGATGTTCATTCCAAAACTTTAAAAAAAAAAAAAAAAAACAGATCTATTGTACATCATCAAGATTCTGACATTATATTCACATTTTTAAACATTTTGAAGATTCTGACATTGTACTCCCATATTTTAAACATTTTGGCAAATATTGATTGCATTCATGAAAATGGATTTCATAAAAATAAAATTTGGAGGTCAGCCTCCACTTGATGAATGAATTCCTCCTATAATACTCCAAACAAATAAAAGCTGATAAAAATCTCACAGTGAGATAAAGAACATTTCATGCAAGAGTGCCTTGAGAACCAAAGGAGGACTTTATTCCACAAAATGTTCTTTCAAAATCAAAGTATCACTCTACAAGAAATTTTCTTTTAATGACAGCAGAATCCAAAGAACAAGAATAACAAGTTAAAAAGGGGGAAAACTACAAAATTGTTGATTTCAATCAATAGGCGTCTTAGGTCTTAAAGTAGTTCACTGAGTTCCAGAGAGTTTCTCCATCAATCTCAAGGAAATTCAAAGAATCAAATGTCTTCTGAGGAATTTCATGTATTTTTAAAACAGCAATAATTCAACTAAAGAGAATTTTTTTATTTATAAGAATTTATCTTTAAAATATCCTACAACTTTTAATATTCAAACACATTTTTTTTAAATCCCATCTCTCAAATTCAAATAAGGAGTGAAAATTAGTTAGCAGTTGTCTCCAAAATCTCTTTATCTTTTGAAACAGCATTTGAAATTAAATATAAAGGGAATAACTGTTCAACATCAGCTTTTTGATCTTGCATTTTAAGTGAATGCAAAGTAATGAAATTCACTGGGTTATACTAACATTCATACAGTGAGACTCACCACGTTCTTTCAGAAGTCCCATTGAAGAGGTCCCAGGTGGTAGGGGCAGGCCAAAATAGGCAGGAAGGTCATATAATGATGCCAAAAATCTGTTTCCAAAACATAAAGTTGGATCTCTGAGTGATTCATAGTCTCTGTTTTATAATATAAGGCCTCTAGATGAATGTTAAAGGATTAAGTAGTAATCCCAGAAAGAAAACCACATGCCTGAGGTCAATAAGTACCATATCTGCTCTAATCTCGGAGCCCTGAGGATTAAATATTTCTTATTGGAGGTAAGCAAAATCGCACCAAATTTTTCTGGTACTAAGTATGGATAACAAATATGAAAATTTACTTGCTGATGGAGTCACATTTGACAAAAATAGGGAAAATGGGGGCCAGCTGTTGTGGCACAGCAGATTAAGCCACCGTCTGTAAACCTAGCATCTCATCTGAGTGCTTATTCAAGTCCAGCTGCTCCACTTCCTATCCAGCTCTCTGCTGATGTGTCTGTGAAAGCAGTGGAAGATGGCCCAAATGCATGGCCCACTGCCACCCTCATAGGAGAGCCAGATAGAATTCCAGACTGCTGGCTTTGGCCTGGTCCAGCCCTGGTGGTTATGGCCATAAAACTGGAGTGAACCAACAGATGGAAGATTTCTCTCCCTGTCTCTCCCTTTCTCTGTCACACTGCCATTCAAATAGATAAATATTTTTTTAAAAAATCAGGAAAATAGGGTCCAGCGCCATGGCGCACTAGGTTATCTTTCGCCTGTGGTGCCAGCACCCAATATGGGTGCCAGTTCTAGTCCCAGCTGCTCCACTTCCAATCCAGCTCTCCGCTATGGCCTGGGAAAACAGTAGAAGATTGCCCTTGTGGAAGACCAGGAAGAAGCGCCTGGCTCTTGGCTTCAGATCAGTGCAGCTCTGGCCACTGCAGCCATTTGGGGAGTGACCCAATGAAGGGAAGACCTTTCTCTCTGTCTCTCCCTCTCACTGTCTGTAAATCTTTTAAAAAAAAAATCAGGAAAATTAACAAGCATAGTATCTATTTCTTACCTATTTTACTACAAATGATTTTCATCTTTTCCTAACATGTACTTGGAGAATTTCAACCATGTCAGCTCAATAAAGAATCAGGTACAACACAGAAACTTTAGAAAGTATAAATAAACATAGGGTCTGGCATTGTGGTGTGATAGGTTAAGCAGTCCCCTGCAATGCCAGGATCCCATTGAGTCCTGGCTGCTGCAATCCAATCCAGCTCCCTGCTAACGCTTCCAGGGAAAGCAATGGAAGATGGCCTAAGTCCTTGGACCCCCTCTACCAACATAGGAGACCTGCAGTAAGCTTCTGAGTCTTTGCTTCAACCTGGCCCAGCCCTGACCACTGCAGCCATTTGGGGAATGAACCAGTGGATGGAAGATCTCTCTCTCTCTCTCTCTCTCTCTCTCTCTCTCTCTATATATATATATATATATATATCTGTCTATTTCTCCCTCTAACTCTGCCTTTCAAGCAAAAACAATAAATCTTAAACAAAAGAAAAGGAAATTAAAAAACCACTGCTCATAACGTCCCTCCCACCCGCAACCCTTGGGGAAGCCATTGTACTCCATAAGCTGTGCTTTGGAAATTTATTTAATTTGAGGCACCGCATATGTATTTCACTTGCTCATTAACTTTGCTCTTAAGGTTTCTCTTTTGTTTTATTTTCAGATTCTTTTTCATTGTTACTAAATTAATTATAAGCAAAAAAAAAAAAAAAAAACACTGCTAATCTCATCACCCAGATTTTTTAGTGACCAATGCAAACTCTTGCTTCCTCTAGGTAAGGTACTAGTCTAAGTCATTTATGTATCTTGCATGATTTAAGCATGTAAAATACATAAATAAATACCCAATGAATAAATAAATACCCAATAAACATCTAGATTCTATATCTAATACCCCTCTATTCATCTTACAAATGAAGAAACTAAGACATTGAGGAGTTTACTAGTACATAGTTCAGATTATCCTAGCTAGAAAACAGTAGAGCCAGAATTTTAATTCAAGCAATAGGGCTTCAGAAACTATATTACTATTATTGTGGGAGCAAAGGAAAATTTCCCCTCTGCCCTTTGTATGTTTACCAAAATGAAGTGCCAACCTAGAAATTAAATAGAAGAAAAGAGCATGGATTTTTTTAATGTGCAAAAGGCAAAGAATCACAGCATGATGGGATATCAGAGGAGTGTAATTACTCACTAACCCAACATGATTCAGAAATTTATATATCCCTTTTCTATTGGAGAAAGGGAAAATAGGTGACATAGCAATTTTTAGTAGAGTAGTAAATGACTTCTAAGGGAAATTAGTGGGCTTGAGGAGTACACAACGATCTGAGACAAAGTCTTTGGGACCACAAAATAGACAATGGATTATAAATTATTCTCTATGGGAACCAATAGAGGACAATGGTGTGACAAAAATGTGTTCAGGTTTCAGTCTTTCTTCCTTTGATGTGAATTTACTTTATCAAAGCAAGGTGAAGGGATCAGAGGTAATTGCTTTAGTAGGTCCAAACTATAAGGGAATTTCGCAGATGGCTTTTCCTTGCACATTGAAGGAAGAAGGAAGACAAGGTTGAAGACCCTTAATTCTAAGCCTGCTTTTAAGACTTTTTAGTTTCCCTTAGTTAAGCCTGCCAAAAATTGTCATATTTGGGGAATATCATTCTCTGAACCCAAACAATATTTTATACTAACTCTGTTCATCAAATTACCATGCATAATATACTCTATTCCTTTTCCATGTTCATGCATATATAAGTGATTACAAACTTTCTAACTTCTTATACTTAACAACGTTATCATGATATCTTTCTTTGTAAATGTATGAAATGCACATTGTTATTTTGGCCCACTACATAGCATGGATTTAACATAGAGATGGTTAATTCACCAATTTCTTTTACTGGATATTTGGCTTCCATTCCACTTTCTTGTTACATTTTAATTTGTTTTCTTTTTATTTAACACATTTGTACATATCTATGCAGTAAGTAATATAATTAAATATATGTATGTCATATGTAATGATCAAATCAGGGTAATTAGTACTTCTATCCCTTCAAACATATATTTCTATACATTGGGGACCTTTAGACTCTTCTAGTTATTTTCAAAATAGATAAGAAATTGTTGTAGAATATAGTTCCCCTAGAACTAGTTCTAGAAGCCTAGAACTAATTCCTGTCTAACCATCTTATGATCTCTATTATTTGACCTCTCTTTTTCCCTCTGACATTTTACTCTTCTTAGCCTCCAGTGACCACCAACATACCCTCTTCTCTGAGAGCAATATTTGGCTTCCATAAATGGTTAAAGAACATGTGGTATTTGTCTTTTCATGCCTGGTCACTTCACTTAGCATGAAGTCCTCCAGTGTCATCTAAGTTACACAAATGAGAGGATCCCCTACCTCCCTCCCTCCTTTCCTCCTTCTCTTTCTTCCTTCCTTTTAGAGGTATAGACTAGAGATAGAAGGGGGAAGGAGACAGGTAGTGGGGTGTGGAGAGAGCTTCCATCTGCTTGTTCAATTCTCAAATACTGGCAACAGCCAAAGCTAGGAGCAGGAGTTCAATCCAAGTCTCCCACATGGGTAGCAGAAACCCAATTATGCCCACTACTTCTGCCTCCCAAGGTCTCTACTGGCAGGAAGCTGGAGTCAGGAAGAGAAGTTGAGGATCAAACTGAGGCACTGTGATGTGACACACAGGCATCTTCACTATCAGGATAATGCTCACACTCATTCTGGCTGAATGATATTCCATCATACATATATATCACATTTTCTTCAGCCATTCTATCCATTGATGATACTTTGGTTGATTACATACCTAGGTTATTGTGAATACTGCTGATATAAACATAGGAATGCAGGTATTTCATTGATATAATGATTTCATTTTCTACAATATACACTAGTGAGACTGCTAGATCACACAGTAGTTCTATTTCCAGTTTCTGGGTGAATGTCCATACCATTTTTCCATAATGGTTGTACTAATTTCCATTTTTATCAAAAGTGTATAAAAGTTCACTTTCTCTATATCCTCAACAGCATCATGAATTAAAATCTTGGAACATTCATATTTGCATACTTACTTTCTTTTCCTAGTATAAATGCCTAGAAATAGAATTACTGGTTAAAATGTTCTATAAATGTTATGGGGCTGGCATTGCAGACTAGTGGATAAAGCCACCTCCTGTGACAACAGCATCTCATATAGGCATTGGTTTGTGTTCCAGCAGTTCCACTTCTGATCTAGCTCCCTGTTAATGCCTTGAGAAAAGCAGAGGAAGATGGCCCAAGATGGCCCCTGCCACCCAAGTGGGAGACCTGAATGAAGCTCCAGGATCCCAGATAGATTCTGCCTGGTCCAGTCCTGGCCATGGAAGCCATCTGGGGAGTGAACCAGCAGATGTAAGACCTCTGTCTCTAACTCTTTCAAATAAAATAAATCTTTAAAATAAAAATAAAAGTAAAAAATAGTTATATAAATATTACTGTAGCTTTTAGTATTTTAAAGCATTTTTCCTGACAAAAAGAAGAAAGAAACAGGTGGATGAGGGAGGAGATTGTGACTGTCCTATTGAGAGACTTGCATTTGGACTTGACACATAGTATGCACTGAGTAAACAGTAAGTAAATGACTAGCTTGTAAGATTCATTAATTTACCTGTCACTCATGTAGCCAGGCCTATGGGTCTGGACAGAGGACTGAGACATCCTGAAAACAGGATCAAGGTAAATATGAGAGTTTTGAATATGCAGGTGGTTTTGCAAAAAACTACATATGGAATTCTAGAATTAACTAGTTAATTCATATGCCACCACAAATGGGGCCAAGATACACTGACGAAATGTAGTTTAATTTACTTTCTAATATTTGGCCCATAGTTAAGTATTATTTAAATTGAAACTTAGAACTAATGGCAATTTTCCAAAGATTTCCTACGAATTGAAGATTCTGACAGAAGTAGACATTCATGTACTTAAGCAAAACTTTTTAAACAGTAAGGTGAGAATGGCAGAGTTGTTTCAATACAAATGCAAAAAG